AATTAGGTCTCCTATAAAGTGCTGCACAATGCAAAAGGCTGAAGCAACTTGGGTTTTGGAATCAGATGATCTCTAAGGTCCCTCCCAACCCAAACCATGCTATGATTCTAACTTATTTGAAATTCTTTTAAGGTGGAATGAGCAAGTGACAGCACAGGCTGGCTGTATTTGCTCCTACAAGTTTTATGTATGCCAGTTGTTAAAAAAAAAAACAAACTGTTGTGTTTAGGTGCTATGGTCATTAACAGGAAGATATTTTCAGCATTTGCCAACTAGAAGTCTACAAATTGCTCTATGACTTTAACTATTTCAAAGTTTCATATTTGAGGACGTAAGAACATTTTAAGTACATTTAAGTACATAGTAATACTTACCCCCATTGTAAATAATGCAGTTGTGCAAAATCCATTTGGCATCAGCCAAAAATGCTTCAGTGCAACCGTACATTTTCTTTTTAACATTCTGTAAAGAAAAAATTAAGAATGAATCATGAAACAGATACGAATAAAGTGACAGCTTTTTCCTGAACATTGTTTCCTACCAGTCCTACAGTTAATAGAATTGTAAGTCTTACAGTAAATAAGTAGTCAGTTTTAAATACTTAAGAATCTGCCAAATGCAGGGTGTCTTTTGACTGCCCTGAAAATGTATGAACTGTCTAAATTAATTCTAAATAATGAATTATTTAGATCAGCATCTTTAACATTTCCAAACAAAGTGTTCATTTCCTGAAAGTGTTCCATTCGATGTCTCTTCAGAAAACTGAGTCCTTGATTTCTTCTACTGACTTATTATTGCTCCACAGCATTTTTATTTTTTAATTTTTACAAGACCCAGAAAAAATTATTGGTCATAGAGTACACAAGACAGTATGCTTGATATTTCAGTCTACCCACTGGCTAAAGTAATTCAATTAGATAAAATCAGTCACATTGATTTGTTACACCTTTATACCACAAAGACATCAGCCTCCACTGTAAGGACATGGAGAATGAAAACTTGCTGTCTCTAGCAGAACAACACTCTGCAATGAAACTTTTAAACTGTTATTGAACTGAGAATGAAAGTCACATTATCCACCTATTGACTGTTTCTTTTTTCTTCCATACCTCAGGTGCAGTGGAGATTACAGTATTTGCTGATTGATCAGTAAAATGAGTCTGGAATGACCCCTGGAAATACACTCAAATGGTCCCAAATTAATGGACCAGTGATCCATTAATAGCTTACAAACGTGATGATCAAATGCAAACTCTGGTTAATGAAGTCTCCCCACAGGATCATTCCTGAATAGATGAATTTATACAGGAGGAAGTCACCAGTGTAAGCTTGCCTTTTTCATACTGTTTTTCTTGAGCATTTGTTACTGGTTCAGACAAAATAACGGACTTGTTCAGTTGGCATATGATTGTTTTTAAGATGTAACCGAACTGGAATTTATAATAACAAAAAGAAAAAAAAAAAAAAGCATCAAAATAATTTCAAGCAACCTCTGTCCCCCTCCCATCAAACACTCCAGAAATCTTAATGATAGCAATCAAACTCAAGGAACTTCCTCCCTTAGCTTCATACAAACCTTCTCTAATGTACAAAGGTCCATTGGATGAAAGATATATTCTGCATAATCTGGGTGTTGATCCAGTGAAACTGGCTTTTGAAATGGCTCTGTCTGTTAAGGCGGAGAAAAAAAAAAAAAAAAGGTTACATTGCTTATTAATACTGAACAGTTTCATCAATGATACTATACTCATTCTTTTTCCAATACTACTTCCAACTGTGATGTCAGAGAAAATTCTTTAAAGGTAATTATAAAATTTTGTGAAGTAATAAAGTATTGGCAGAACAAGAGGAACTAAAAGGTCTCATTTAACTGATTTTTCATATGCTGGAAGTAATGAATTGCAAAAGTTAGAGGTTTTGTAAAATGTACTGTTATTATTTACAGTAGGTTTTTTTTATGAGGAGCATCAAATGAGGCTCAACAGACAGTTTTTAGCAGAATAGAGACACTAAATTTCCAATTCACTAGACTCACTAATACTTCTTTTTCAGACTCCCAATAGAATCATAACTTTCAAACCAATGGTGGCTTGGTAATGCAAACACACTCAAACTTTTATCAGTGGGACACTACATTTTATCTGCTAATGTGGAGGGCCTGCAATTCTTCAAACACAACCAATTAAGGTACTCAGGTACCAAAACACCAGGTTATTAGTCAAATGCCTAAAGGACAAAATATCTCAATAGCATTCATTAAACATTAGCTTTCTAACCACATTTTCAAAACACTTTGTGAATTCAATATAAAACAAACACTGACACTTTGCTCCTGAAAAGCAGCACGTAAAGTTTCTAATGGCTCTATCTAATAGGACAGTATTTACCACTCCAGAGTAAGACCATTCCAAGAGCCAAAATCCATCAGTACTTAAAGAGTAACCTTCCCCAAAATTGCCACTGTTGTTCTGCTAAAATACCTATCATAGAGAGATCAGAGTTGCAGAGACCCCATGATTCTGCACATCTGGTTTTCCCAACATATTTTACTATAACAATACAGGCACAGAGACACTCTCCCACCTGCTCTAACTTATGGACAGGAACAAGAAGGCAACAGGGGTTAAGACAACCCTTGGTAATTCATCACATCATATTTTGATTTACTGTTTTCTTCACACATGTGAAAACTAGGCAACGCTTGCATGGTGAAGAACAACTGACCAGAATTGTTGAAACTTAGAAGCAAGAATGAGTGACTGGAATAGCTGAAACTTTGAGGCATGGTGATTTTGAGAAATGAGTCTAAGACAGACACATGGAGATAGGTACAAGTTGGAGGAAAACCAATTTTACCTCAGTGATAAAAATTCATGGAACAGCAGCCTCATACTGCATGAAAGCTAATGGTACAGGTTTTCACCACACTGAGGAAAATTTCTTCAGTGTTTTAGAAGTATATGATACAAGTAACTTTTGTGGTAAGAACAATTTCTGCTAACAGATAGAAGCTAGGTTTTCAACAGGTATAATCAATAATATTACAGCGTCTGTGCCTAAGGTTTCTGCCCATATAACTGTACTGGTAAGAGATTATGTCTCCTCATTCCCCTTGTATCTCAGAGACAGCACTGTCCACTTTCGGTGAATGAGAAACCACACCCCACTGGAAAGCCACATTATATTTTCACTACATCTACTGAAACTACATCCAGAAGTTACATCAAGAAGCTACATTTTAAATGCACTCCAAAAGAGTATATACACTAATCTGTCTGTACCAGATAGACAGCACAGAAGCGGTCATGCACAATCTAATAAAATAAGCTGGGTTCATAATCCACAAAAGGAAGCAAAGCCCAGGCTTATGACAAACATATGATCCAAATATTAAAAAAAAAAAAATCTTCCTTACCCCTGGCTGTTTCATTTTCTGTAGTGCAAACTTCAGTAAATATGATAGCTGTTCAATGGTGAGCATTGTCATAGCTTTACTCTGTGTTTCTATGCATTCTGCGACTGTGATTTTCTAAAAGTTAAGATTAAAAAAATATATCATCAGCAAACATTTCTAGGTAAATTCTTCTCCAGTAAAACACTCTAGCATTCAAATGGAAGATAATAACTATCTTATAAGAAACAAACTATTTCTGATGATGCAGTGTAAGTACTTCAGATGTTTGTTTTACTTGTTTCAGGTATGATGATGATGATAATAACAACAACAACAAAAAAAGAGTAAAGATCAGAAAATTATCCATCATCTTCAAGATCACACAAAGTGAATGTGTGAATATATACAATTCCCAAATACAATGCAGGTTCTCAGCAATATGAACAAGTGAGAACGTCACTTGGGCTCTAATACAATAAGTGATCAAAGAAAAACATCCAATAAACCAATTTGCTTCCAATAAATATACTTTGATACTAAGTATTCTGTCCCCAGGAATCATTGGAGAGGAATGATTAAATTCTTCCCCAGCCCTGCAGAAAAAAATAGGAATAAAATACCCACTTGTTTATGTAGACCCTATGGTGCATTTTTTTTCTGCACTGCTGCAGAGCTGATCAGCCCACTAGAAGAAGCACATTTTAAACTAGTCAAAACTGCGGAATGTTTTCAGAATTAGAGGTGCCTGATGAAGAAAGAGATCATTCTTTGAAATGGTGCCTTCTCTAGAGATGGAAACACAAAGCAAGTTGAATACTCGTGGTAAGAAGGCAAACACAATCCAGGTACACACACAGAAGAAGTGGTGAAGCAGCAATGGATGCCTCTTCTGTACAAATTTTTCTGCTACCTTTAACAAGAGGCAATATAGGAATAAACCAGAAACATTTCAGAATGCAAAAAAGCTGCTTATATCTCACAAACAAGAAAGAAATCCACTCCTTATAGCAAACTAACCTCACATTCTGGGCAAAACCAATCCCCCTCTGGTTCCGCTGTCAGTTTCAGACACTTAGCATGATAAACCCGAGGACAGAGTTCACAGCAGAGGACTTGGCCTTCCCGATGACAAACCCAGCAATAGAAATCATTCCGTCCATCCTGTGGTACAACATCAACAGGGTCTGTGGTGAGTGGCTGCTTCATATAGTAAAACGGACCATGTCTTAGTTCTGACTGAAATGTAGGCAAGAAAAACAGGTTTGGTTTCAAAACAAATTTGCATTTTTTCAAATAATAATATTCATAATATATAAGCAAACAGCAGTTTACAGAGTCTGATTAACAATCATTTATGCAAGCACAGTATCTTATTCATTGCACAAAATCTTTCATAAAGAGGTTTACTTCTTATTCAGATTTCAAACACCAGTTTACAATCAAGACTGAAAGTAAATTTTTGTGGCAAGTGAGGGCATCGAGTGCAAGACATGCAATCCAACAAAAGTCAGTAAACACTTTTATCTTCAAGAAGGAAGTTGCTACAGAAGCTACTAGGTCCTCTAAACTCAGAATTCCATGGGGCTATGCAAGCTAAGTACTGAGATATTCAGTGGTGGCTAAACCTGGGACAACTGAAGAAGTTAGTCCTGAAACACAAAGCTGAACACCATGCAAATCTGTCCTAAGTTGCAGTAGATCACAACTTTGTACAATGAAGCAAGCCAGTGCTGATTTTCATTAATAAGGCAAACCGTAGAGTAGGATGACAAAGGAGCAAATTCACACCCTGAACAGCCACATCTGCTACAGGAGCAGGTACGCTGGGAGAGATTTAACCCACCATTTAAATGCATACCGGAATTTAAGACTCACAAACTTCACTGCCTTGCCTGCACTAGAAAACGGTGTTAATTTTGTAAACTGCATGAACTAGTCTTCCACTTGAGCCCCAGACAGCTCAAAGATGACACAGCTGATGCCGAAACACAAGAAGCAAAGACCCTGGAATGGCCAAAGTGGGTCCCCAGATACCTAGGGTTTGTTAGATCAGCTTTGAAGAGCTGCTAGCATTTATTGGAAAACTATATTCTGTTTGGTATTAATTATAGGGGTGGTTTGCTGAGGAGGGCATGGAGGGAAACAATCTTGAGTTTTAGGCAGTTTATTTACTGTGATTTTTTTGTCTGATGTAAAACCATTTGCTCATGACATCACTTGTAACTATCCAAATGCTTGTACTTTGCAGAACCATTTTGTTTGGTTCTCAGGTAATTTTGCATGCGTCCTACACCATTTACACATCTGCAAGTTCTTAGCCCCTTGAGCTGTCACATGCCCATGTGACTCTCAGAACAGTGCAAGCATATGCATGTTCCATACCTGTGCAGCATCCTGTACAAAATTAGTCACACAGGGCATGAATTTATGTCACCAGAAACCACCAGCATGCCAGCTTGGACCATGATATTTCTAGATTTCTAGTTACAAAGGACAAGGTCTAATTATTTGCATGAATAGAGGACCTTCAAGGTCAAATTACATGACGCAGAAGTGACAACCCAGCTGAAGATGTTATATCTCAAAAGATACACCAGGAGTGATATCATCTGCAGTTATCTAACACTGTATAATATTTTAGGCAAAGAAACGACATTACCCAGAAACATTCCCAAAACATCCTGCTACCTAAAATTTCACTCAAAGTTCTGCCAGTTTTGGTGTTTTTCATTTTCTATTGTACAGATGATACAGCTACTAAAAAGATACTTTGTTCCCACCACGGAAAAGGGCAAAGTGTTATTTTCTGTACTTTCTCTGTGTGTATATTTAATCACATAACATGACTAGACTTTCAGAAGAAAGGTTCTATGAGATCCTGTGGAATAAGAGGGACAGCATAAGGCTTTAACTATATTTCAAATGTATTACTACTACAATCATCCAAACATATCCAAGGGTATATGGAAACCCAGGGTGAAGAAGGGAAAGTTGCAATTTACAGCACAGAAACATGTTTTGTTTGCAGCTATATGCACCACAGCTGTGAGACCAAAATCTCAATAGTGTACATGTGGAGATGCAGCTATGGGGCATTTCCTCAACTGCAGATAAAGGAAATTGCTAGAAGAATTTAATACATATTCTGACTTTGAAGTGGGTATAAGCAGTATATCCACACTAACTTCCTAAGAGTCAAAGATACTGCTTTAAGACAAATATAAAACCTGTGAAACTATTCCACAGAAATCAGCTCATAACATCCAAACTGAGCACAAGTCCATTTTTGCGATAGCATGAGAGGAATTAATTTTCTGTTCAAGGATGCTTGTGTCTTTTAGACATCTATCACCTTATTTTGTCTAAGCCAGCTTTAAGAACAACAACAAAAAAAGGTTCTGAGACTTGAAAAAGACCCAAACAACAAAACTGAAGGACTCAAAATGAATGCTTCAACTACATCAAAGGACCTTTTCACTTGCTCTAATCAGAGTAAAATGTTTTAAGAGCTTAGATTTTAACAGTTATGAAAGAAAAGCTTTGTTTTCTCAATTGTTTCACAACTAGCCAATTCAAGCTCAGATAGGTGGTAGCTTGTTTTAAAGTCTTTATCGAAGTTATTAAGACCTGTAGAATGACATAGAAAACTGAAGAAGAAACAACAGTATTTTAGTGCTGTTTTGGGGAGAAAAAGATCACTATTTATGTTCAGTTTAAATTAATATTGAAGCTAGTGGTAAAACAGGCTGACAACTTCAATTACATTATAACTGACCAATTAAGTGTCAGAAGTTCCTGACTTTTAACCTCTTAGCTACATTCTACAATTCCATAATTCTTTGCTTGTATTTCAACACTTTAAATACCTGTTGGCACCATTCTGAAGATCTGCTACTGCATCCACAACTTGTAACATGAAGCTTCATGCAACTACAACTTTAGTAATGATATCTTGAAATACTCAAATATTACAAAACACTTCGTAATGTAGAATATTAAGTTGGAGCTTTCCAGTGATGTTGTCATACCTCAAAATGGATTTATCAGCCAATCAGAACCACAGCTATCAGCTACATTATACTTGAAACTTAACCTGAGAGCAAAACAAGTAACTGTATGCTTAGCTCACACCTGTTCAGCAGTAAAAGAATCTTTAACAATTCCTGCTACCATATAGAGCAGAGTTTTGCACCTACTTTAGAAACAATCATCTTCAGGCATGCCCATTTCTAATTTGACATGCAAGACAATATTGAATTAAAAACAACTTGTAAAAGCTAAATAAAACTAAACAGATGATATTTTCTTGCTAACTTGTAACAAATACAGCAAAATAAGCAAGTCTGATTGCTTTTCTTCATTAGATATACAACTTTTTTCTATCCTGTAATAATTCAGGTCTGAGATACCTGGAAAACAGAAAAGGATTTACCGAGGGGAATGTATCAAATTCAGCAACTGCAATTGTGTTTTCACATATATTTTTAAATGCATGAATAAAAAGTGGAAATTAATACCCTAAGATTCAATACCACTGTTTGTAAAATTATCTCTACACTGCAGTTAGAAGCTCAGACTTCAGTGGGGCAATATCTCCCCAGTAAACATCCAGGATGTAGAGAAATTTATACAGCCTGCAGTGAAGCTCAGTAAAAGCCAAACTGGCCACACTGAACTAGTGCAAGCACACCTACACACACTATTACTAGACCTCCCAATTATCCTTAAGTAAAATGTGCTTGACTCTGTAAGACTATTCTCTAGCAAGGCCTGATTCACCCACAGTCTTTGTTTCAGGACAACTGCAGTGATTAGGAATTTCATTTTCTTTCTTAATCAGTGCAATTGTACCGGGATAATATTTAATGTGGATGCTGTTACACCAGGAAAAAGTGCTTTAAACACTCGGAACTTAATCCTGTGTTTATACGATCCCAGCAAAATACACTGACACACAAAACCACTTTGAAAAATACACAGGCATGTAATTATTAAATTAGATGAGAAATAATTTCAGTAAGGCTAAAGACTGCTTTCATGTAATCTCCTCCAAGATGACGCAGGTGCTGTACAGCGTTTCCTATTCAATGCACTTCATATAATTCTTTCACTTGCATCATACAATGGATCAGAAATTACCAAAGTCATCTGGAGTCAAGTTCTTCTAAGAACTAAAACAAATGCAATAGATTTGGTATTCAGAAGACACTGAAAATAAGGTTTCAAGCATGAAGATTGAAAAGTACTGTCAGCGTGACCCTTTGATTTAACTAGTTTGGTAGGAGTGTACACTGCCCAGCAATTTAAAGGCAGGGGAGGGAATCTGCAGAGTACCAAGGAAGGAGCTGGACTTTTGTTAATAATTGGCAGTAGGACTGAAAGCAGGTGAGAGACTTCCACTGACTTTATGAGAACTTTCTCAATCTAGGATATCATGCCCCTGAACATTTCCTTGTAATGGTTTTAATTACTAGCAGCCATTATTGTTGTTGTTGCTATTGTTATTATATTCCCTCATAATCCTTTTGTTCAAAATTGCATTTCTTGGTTATACATCTTATTAGTTTTAGGAAATCAAAAACCAGGACACAGGTTGTCTTTCTCATACAGATGTAAAACAAAAAGAACACCCAAATCCAACTTATAACGCCAACTCCTACACCCACTGCATTAAAAAATGAATATCCACTTCTCAGAGTACAAAACCGAAGCTTCCTGAAGAAGAGAGAGCTCCTGATCAGCTGTCTCTACGTCCTTCATTATTTCATATTCTAGCATAACAAGACCATGACTTCTCTTACCTGCTCTTTATTATTACTGTTCAATAGACCAGGTTTCTTTTTCTTTTTTATAGGACTTGTTGATGCATCTTGTGGTGAGTGGCCATTAGAGGAATGTGGAGGGCTGGGAAACTTCCTTTTTTGTGCTGTGCGTTCGGCAGAGCCAGGATCTATAACAGATTCAAAAAGTATTGTTGAAGAGTGCATATCGATGAAAAACATTCAAACAAGGTTGTGGTTTGTCATTCACACTCCTTAACTGAGCAGAATAAAAATTCTCAATTGTCTTTCACCCAGTCACTGACAAAACTGGAAGCACAGACTTGCTAAGCAATGCCACTGTTAAGTGAACTCTTAGTATAGTAATTTAGATTAACATTAAATATTTTTTTCTTTTCCCACAGCATTCTGGCCATTCACCTCATCTCAAATGTTACTATCTTTTAAAGTATAACAACAATTATTTCTGTAGTTTAGCAGAGTGCTATGCTAATTTATGTCATACACTTTAGAAGCAGAGAAACAAATTAACATTTCCTGACAGCTTCACTCACGTAATTTAGGAACATAAGCAACAGAAGCTAAAACACGTAAGAGGAAAGCCAGTCCTCATCATTTATTTCTCATATTTAAATAAACTTATTGAAATATGTCGATAGAAAAAAATGTCCTAGAGTCTGAAAATAAATACGCTACCTCAAATACTTAGTCATTTGTAGTACCTGCTAAACTGGATTGTAAAAAGATGAAATTAAGACAAGACTCCCAGTCAAGCAGTAACTTCTGGCAGCAAGATAGAGCAACAAACAGGAAGTGACACAGCTTTTCAGTGCCTCTCACAGTCAGAGCTCTCACATTCAACCAACGGTTTAATAAGTCACAGCTTCCATCTGTGCCTGAAGTTACTATCCCAAGTAACAAAGCTGAAAGAAGGGAGCATGTGCCTGTGTCTCAGTTCCTTCATGGATTGTCATGTTAGTGTAAACTCATCACCCCGGCCACTTAAGTAGCCTGGTAGCCCTGAACTGCATTTTCTGAAACATGTGCAAAATTCTTTAAAAAATTAGAAGGAAATTGAGACATTGCTCTATCAAATGAATATCTATTGTGATGATCTTCACTCTTCCAATTATGCTAAATTATTTGAATTCTTCAAAGATTTTTAATTCATCTTTTTTTTACTTGGTCACTGTTTTGTGTTCATCAGAATATTCAGAAGGAATTATTTACAGCCTTAAAAGAGTTAATACATCAGAAATATCCTAGGTAAAAATAACGTCATTTCCAACTTCATTTTCTCAGAACAAAATTTAAATGATTCCTAAATTAATATGGAGTGCTCAGCTCAATTACAAAGAACTTCCTGACATTTTTCAAAACAAACAAGTATGCAATCAGCTGTAATAGACAATCATAGAATAGTGAAGCAATCTTGACAAAATACAAGTGAAAGTCCAACAGAGTTGGTTTAACACATTTAATTTTTCCTTAAGCTTTTAATGCATACAACAAAACAAAATGATAGATAAAAACATAGGGATCAGAAGTCATTAATATGATAGAGGAACAACTGAACCCTACCCAAAATCACTCCCATATTTTCAATCCCCTAATCACATGTGCTAGTGCAAATGTTTTGTGGCCACACACTAAACAATTGAGGAATAAAACCTGTCTAAAATATAACTTTTTTCTGAGCAATTTTTTTCTATGACCGCATGCACTGCACAGCCACGCAAGTGCTTGTAATGCATTCAGCGAAGCAGTTATACTGGATGGGAGCATGTAGCAAGGAGGAGAAATGCTGCTTTTGGTATTAATGCCACCTTAAAGTTTTGTTTTGTTTTGTTTCAAAAAACCAGTTTTTGGCAGCTATTTGAGAGAAGCCAGAGGCAATCAAACTGCTGGTTGCCATGATCCTATACCCTTTCCCTCCTGGATCCGTATTCTTGCCTTCCAGGCCTCACCGGGTGATGGGCTGGGCTGTCTCAGGTTGCCAAGTCACCAAAACCTCACTGAAACACTTCACCTGAAGTCTCCAGTGAACACCAGAGGTACCAGAACAACAACCAGTAACTGGATCAATTTATCAGAGCATGCCTATTGTCAACAGATTTAAACTAACTATAAAAAGGTCCACCAAAAAATACTGAAACTTCCCCAAATAGAAAAAATACTAAAACCACAGCACTAGACCATTTCGCATAGGCAGTGGACAAACACCTTTCTCCCACAAATGCCTCCCAGTCTGACTTTTAACTATTTACTGAATGAGACAATTTTGTTGAGCTACAACATTCTCTCAGGGAATGATTTTAACACCTTTAAGGAGTCTCGCACACAATATGGCCACTGACACTTTCTCATTAGACAGTCTTACAAGTGAGCTAGTAAAACATGGTTTAGCTTAAAACTGTATTCAGAATAACGCCCTGTCAAATTGAAAAGTTACACTGAATCGCATTCAAAATTGCACATCACAAATCTTAGAGGGTCTATGGCACAATAAAACCTGGATTAGATTTCTGCATGATTTCTGTATTTTGTGCAAATGTGGAGGGGAAACAGTCGATAAGGAGAAATAAAAATTGGCTGCAAGAATGATTTGCACAAATGGAGATAAGATTAACAACCTACGTACTCTTCTCTAAATAGAAAAAAAGTATTTGGAACAATAGTTGAACATGAACTGACTACGAACAAATGACTTTTTTCTGTTATGAAAAAGGGCAAACGATACTGATGTAAAAATAGGAGTGATACATATGATGTAATCTTGATGTTAACCTTGGAATGCTTGCATATATGCTTAAGTTTATTGAAAATAATATATTACTTAGTGGAAAGAG